GATGAGTCGGACCCATCGGCCTTCGTTAGAAAGCGCAAACATTCGGCCACCATTTCCTCATCTTCCAAGAAATCGAAGGTTCTTTTCGATTTCTCATTGTTTTATTCATTTTTCTGTCTATGGTTGATCCATATTCTTATACTTATTTCTTTTTGATTTCTAATTTTTTAGAAACAAAAATCGAAGAGTTCTCGATCTGTTCAACCAACTGCTGTTAAGCCATTATCGACGGACTCTAATACAACCACTAAACCGGGTCAAACAACACCCACCACGCATTCCAGTCACGTAAGTCCCTCTTCTACATCATTTTATATTCCTAGATTTCGATAAGATCTTGTTACATGATTTTGATTCTCGATATTTTTTAGGATCATCCATCGGCGACTATATCGACAAATGTCGATTCTCAACTTCAAACATCAACACCCCTTCCTAAGGTACTACTCTTATATAATTTTGTATATGTTTGTTTGACTTTTTATACATTTCCTGTTCTGATATTTGTTTTCGATTTACAGCAACTTGAGGTTGTACAGACTCTTCCTCCTGTCTCAACACCCCTTGCTCTACCTTCCCTTGGTACTTAAACTTTTTTCTTTACTGTGTTAAATTTTATTTCATTCTTTATTATGAATTTTCGATTCACCTCTTCGATTTCTCTTCTTTTCAGTAAATATTCCCATAGTCAAAGTCCAGGACTCCCCTTCACCCGTTTTTGCCGAGCAATTGGACTCCCCTCCTTTTGCAATGCCTGCGGTTGAGTTGCTCTCGGAGACATTGCCATCGATAAGCGATCCTGCTCCAAGCAATGTGCCAGAATATCGATCTGCCATTGAGGAAGACCCTTTCTCGATCCTCGATATTCTGATGTCTGACGAAGCCACTCCTTCCAGCCATTCGTCCCAACCGCCCGCGGTCTCGACCGAGAGAGTGTACTAACTGAAACAACGTTTCAGGTCCTTCTTCTACTCTTCACCTCTGGAAGCTTTGGTGGAATCTCGTGAGAGGAAACAACGCTTCCAGGAGATTCTTACTTCGATCGAAGCATTTCCTGACGCCGCTCTTCCAGAGGGTTTCGATACGGAAGTCGCAGCGGCCACCGATTTGTTCAATAAGGCCTATGCTGCACAGAAGAAGAAGCGTTCAATTGCAACCAAGTTATCTGATATTTCTTCTTTTCAGATTGAGAAATCGAAGTTACTGAAGACCCAGAAGCTCAATCTGGAGGAAGCATCGACGACGCTGACTTCGATCGATAGTGAGATCGAGGAGTTGGAGAAGAGACTACATCAGCTGAAGTTGCAGAAGGATTTCCTTACATTAGAGATCGATTCGATCAAAATTTCTGCGAAGGACGTGGCGCTATCTCTTGGTCAGAGTATGGAGCGCAAACACAGACTGATCTCCGAGGATAGCTCGATTTCTTCTTCCTGGACACAACTATTAATTGATTTTGATCATCTTAAAACTCAATATATCTCTTTGTAAACATTATTCTATCCTCATTAATGTTGAATGTTTATTTCTCTCATTCGAGGTTTATATTTCTTCAAGTACTTGCCATTTATCGATAGTACTTTATCTTTGTTATACCAATCGATAATCGAATAAGCGTTACTCGATAATACTTTAATAACTTCAAAAGGCCCTTCCCAATTGGGCGACCATTTACCATAACTTTTACATTTTTTGTCCATCGGTAAAATTGTTTTCCATACTAAATCACCTTCTTTAAATGTTTTCTTTCGAACTCTTTTATTGTAAATTCGAGCAATTTGGTTCTTTTGTAAAATCATATTATTCAACGCCTGCAATCTTATTTCATCGAGTTCGTTTAATTCATCATACATCAAGTTCCAATAATCACAACTGGGTAAATCATTCTGCCTTTGTATCTGATTCGATTCAATATTTATTTCGATGGGCAACACTGCATCATGTCCATAGACCAGCTTGTATGGGGTATTCTGTAAGGAATCTTTAGGCGAATTTTGATAAGCCCATAAAATTTGCAATAGCGTTTCGTGCCATGTTCTGGGTCTATTACCAACATGTTCTGGGTCTATTACCAACATGTTTTTTAATTAACCTAATAATTACTTTATTAATTGCTTCAACCTGCCCATTAGCCTGAGCGTAATATGGGGTTGATGTTAATAACTGTATCTTTCTTGATTCAGCATATCTAATTATTTTTCTACCAGTAAAAACTGTCCCTTTATCTGTAGTAATGGACTGTGGGATTCCGAATCGATAAACGATGTATTCTTCGATGAAATCGATTACATCTTGTTGATCAATATCTTTTAATGGTATTACTTCTACCCAGTTTGAGAAATAATCGACAGCAACAATTATATATCTATGTTCCTTCGATGATTGTGGAAAGATCTGTCCGATTAAATCTATAGCCCACCCTCTAAAAGGCCAAGGTTTGATTATCGAGTGTAATTCGCTAGCAAGGACCCGTTGTATAGGACTGAATTTCTGACATTCTTCACAGGATTTAGCGTACTCGATACAATAGAATTTCGATCCATTTCGACTCTTAAGATATTTTGATCCTAATTAAAATTCTACCACGTAAGTTCTTTTTACTTAGGCTAGCAAATTAATTTTCAATCGGGATGCGTATGAAGGTCGAATTTTGCCCGATTTCAAAGATACTATTTTTGGTGTTTTATATTTAAAGTGCTCGAAGTAAAGAAAGCAGAAAATTCGTGGAATCAAAAAGCAGTGCTGAACATTAGATTGCAAAGAAACGTAACATGCAGAAATCTTAAATTTGCTTTAAGTATAAAAGACAGGGAATCGAAACAGCAGAAATGTAAATAACAGGAAGTATAAATGACAGTAAATCAAATGTGCAGAAAGTATAAATAACTTGGAAATCGAAATTGCATTAATGTTAAATGACAAGAAAACTTAAATGCGAAAACTTAACTTTCATTGAATCGAAATGACCAAAAATTGAAAGTACAGAAACATAAAATTGCTAAAGATAAATTGCATCAAAGTAAATTACCAAGGAAAATACAGAAAATGGTAAAGGTACTCAATGAGCATGGAAATCCAGATTGTCAGAAGCTTCATGATGTTCGTCGTTTCTCCGGTAGACTTCTCACTAATGATTCTCGTTCTCGCCAATTTTCCGCTCCCTTTTCCTTTCATCCTTTGCTCTATTTATAGTGTCTTTTCAAGTAGTCTCTTAAGAGCGGTTAACGAAGACTACTACCACGTTCTCGTGCACGTCTTTTGCGGTTTGTTCCTAGCTCTACGGTTTAGAAACCGTATCCACGTTCCCATGAATGAGGTAACCGCTCCCTTGACCTTCGACTTTTGCTACCGCTTACTATGTTCGATGTATACGTCGACCGTTCTTCTTAGCAAAAATTTCGATATTCACGTATATTAGTCTTTCCTTCGATTTTAAATTTCGCAACTTCGAGAATTTTGGATTTGCTTTTGATTCTCGATATCCTTAACGTTACCAGGTTTTGTTTTAGCAATTGCATCGACTTGTTAATCCCTTGTATAGTTCTCGATTTTTTGTTTCCCTTTATTTTCTCGATCCTTTTATAGATTTCTCACTAACAGAATGCGAATTAAGAAAAATGGTTTTCCAGTAATTTCACTTGTTACTTACTCATAATATAATTTGTTGGGAGGAACAATATTTATTGAGGTAGCACCAAGCAAACATTACAAAACAACTCGAGACAACTTAGTGATAGAAATGTGGAAAGCTTCAAACCACCAAAACCTAAAAATACATAACTAAATTACAAAAATTGTTCTTGTGATAATTCTAGTAGCTATATGCTAAAAAGAACAGAATTTAAGGGAAAAAAATAAGAGCATTCAAATTAAACTACATTTAATTATTTGATTCTATGTCGGTCAATGTAGTTTTATCCCATTTAATTAGTGGGAAAGGATTAATTTATCCTAATATAGTTAAACGTTCATCAATTGAACATAGAAAAATAAAATAATATGTATACAGGGAAAAAACACACTCCTAACTTAAACAGTCAAATATATTGACCAAAATGTATAAAATACAGAACTCTAATTCATGTGTGTTTGTGCAAAATAAATAAATAAACAAGCGTGGGAGCCTAAACTCTTGTATACGAGAGTCAAATAATAGAGTTTGAATAATATATATAAAATTTAAAGGTTTAATTTCATTGTTTATTTTGTTTGAATTTGAATTATGTTAATTGATACAATTAATATTACAAATGATATAATATTTTGATCCTCTAAAATTTTATTGAGATTATTTTAGTTCTACAATTTTCTTCCAATAATATTGATATTTTTCGTGTTATATATATATATATATATATATATATATATATATATATATATATATATATATATATATATATATATATATATATATATATATTGTTTTTAATGAGTTAAATATTTTCTTGTAGGTTTTTCTTTCTATCTCTTGGCATTAAGAATCAAATACCGAGTATCGAAAGTGATATCAAGAGCTGAATACCGAGTACCAAAACATCGTGAATCAAATATCGAATATTGAAAATGACATTGCAAATCGAATACAAAATACCGAAAACGATACGATAGTATGAACCAAATACATGTTGAGTAACTTAAATTCGCATTTTTACTCAGTGAAATTTAACTCATATTTACGTTACCCAACAATAATTAAATTAAATGTTACCCAACAATAATTAAATTAAATGAATTTATACAATTGAATCATAAAATCTCATGATAATTTTATTGTAACCCTAAAATGAAAATGGGATAACTAGAAAGACAAAAGGTTTAACTAATTATAAATTGGTTTGGTATTGTCTTGTAAAACAAGAAAATACCTCTTTTTAGCTCCCCATTGAAACTTGTAATCTCATTGCAAGTTCCCTCCTCTCTCTTGCTGAGCAAAAATGGAGCACTCAAAGGCACCTCACATGGTGGTTTTACCATTTCCTGTGTAAGGGCACGTGAAACCCATGCTTAACTTGGCCAAACTTCTCTCTCACCGAGGCCACATAGTCACCTTCGTCAACACACACCACAACCATAGTCGCCTCCTCCAATTCTCAGACTTTTCATCGTTCCACGCTCAATTCCCCACCTTTCTCTTTGCATCCATCACGGACGGCGTGCCCCAACACCTTCCTGCGAACGAGTTCGAGCTCATAATATCTCCGACCAGCAGGTCCAAGGTTGCCCAAGAGTTCCGAGAACTGTTCTCGAGCCTTGTCGAGAAACACTGTCGGTGGGACCCACTTTCTTGCGTAGTATCTGATGGGTTGATGTCGACGATTGCCATGGATGTGCTCGAGAGTTCGGGCTTCCGGTTACCGCTTTCCGAACCTACAGTGCCACTGCCACGTGGGTTTCAATCCACATCAGCAAAATTATTCAAGAGGGTGTTGTGGATCTGCAGGATCAAGGTGAGTGAATAAACTTCAAGTTTTAGTCAAAAGCTAAATTGATCGTTTTATTTATTTTTTATCTGTTTCATTATTTTATTTTATTTTTCTATTATTTGGAGTATTTATTTAATTTTTTAAATGAGTCAAAGTTATTTTTTATCAGTTATATCGTCTAATCATGTAAGATAATGAGATAATATTGACTTATTTTTCAAAATAAAGTAAATTAATATTATAATTAATAATAAGGTAAAATAAAAAATAAAACAATTGAAATAAATAAGTTATTAAACTTTTTTAATGATTTTTCTTTTATATATATATATATATATATATATATATATATATATTTATTGGTTTGCTATTAATGAATTAATAAAATATTCTTAAAAATAATTTTCATTTGTGTTTTTATTCAAGGGATATGGTGTTTGCATCTATCGATTCGAATAATATCTTATTCCCTGTACTATCTATGCATAAGACCCATTAAGTATCAATCAACTTCATCTCTCCCAAATAGGTTTATCTTGATCTACTTTACTCATTCAGTTGGACCTGAGTCCAACCAGACTCAATCTTTATGCACATACCACAGTCCTCAAGTTTTAAATTAGAAAAATATTTCTAATGCAAAGACTAAAAATCGAAATAAACGTCAAATATACTTCATCCCTTAATATTTCATGATATAATTGCAAAGTTCAATCACTTAAAAGGAATAAACAACCATTAAAAATCAGACTTACAGTGACCGTCGTCTTGATGTAGAGTGTGAAAATTGCTTCCGCGAGTACTTGAATTTAGATGAAGATTAACTTGCTTTTACTCGTACTCTAATTTAGATCACGTTTCGATCTTAGTTCGCATTTGGAACATAACTTGCATTTTGAGCATAGGTCGTATTCTGTCCATAGTGCGTATTTCGCACATAACTCACATTTCGAGTATAGGTCATATTTCAACCATAGTGCACATTTCGTACATAGTTCGTATTCTGAGCATAGGTCGCATTTCGACCATAGTACGCATTTTGCACATAGCTCGCATTCCGAACATAGGTCGCATTTCGATCATAGTGCGCATTTCGCACATAGCTCGCATTCCGAGCATAGGTCGCATTTTGACCATAGTGCTCATTTCGCACATAGTTTGCATTCCAATCATAGTTCCTATTGGAACAAATGAAAAACAATATTTTTAAATAACAAGAGAGAGAGAGGGAGAGAGATAGACTTTCTTCGCGCGTAAAGACATAAAATATATGAACATATTAAATGGATTCGGTTATTATAAGAAAACTAAAGTTAAAGAACACAATTCACTGACTCACTGCATAAACGAAGATAAATTCGAACAAAAATGTTAGCAGACACAGAACTTGACCTCTAAATAGTTAAATAATAGCTTAATATCACTCTGTCAAGATAAAAACTGCTTAGTTGAGCTCCGCGTGTGGTTACCATTCTTACTTCCCGATTTCTAGCCTTTCGCAACCCGTCCCTCCTTGACCTTTCTATTACCTTGTGCCTACCTTTATTTCTCCTGCTTTTCACCCGTTTGCTTTTCCTGTGCCTCTCCATGCAGGTGCTTCTTTCAGTGTTGCAATTTCTGCGCAGTTGCATCCCCCTCCTGAGAACACCGAACTTGCTACCATTGAGGTCGTCCAGGCTCAGCTCTGTGGGACCAGTTTCCCAGCGAATATTATCTTGACATAAAAAGCTTTCTTTGGATCTGTTTCTGGTAAAAGTTTTGGTTGTTTTGATTTCCTAAAGACTTAAGTTCTAATCAAATTTTAACCACGTAAAATCTTTTTATTTAGGCTAGTAAACAGTTTTTCAATAAAAAAATATATGTAAATCGAAAGTATCAAAATATCGAGCCAACTGATGAAGCAAAGCGTGAATATTAGAAACACGAAAAATGTAACGAAGTATACAGACTGACGAAAGTTCCTTTTTCTTTTTTCATTTTTTATTAAAAGACTCGAGAATATGAAAATTAGCAGAAGTAAAGAAAGCAATAAAAAGATGTCGAGACAATAAAGTAATACATAAAATTAAATTGCACTAAGAGTAAATGACATAAAATTAAATTGAACTAAGAGTAATCGAAATCACTGGAAAGTACAGGAAAGTAAAGAAAGCTTTAAAAAAAATATCGAGACAAAGATGTAATGCAGAATCTTAAATTGCATAAGTGTAAATGACAAAGAATTAGTAAAGGATATCGAAACAAAGATGTAATGCAGAATCTTAAAATTGCATAAGTGTAAATGACAATAAATTGAAATAACATGAAAGTAAAGGTATCGAAAAAAAGATGTAATGCAGAATCTTAAAATTGCATAAGTGTAAATGACAATGGATTGATATAATATGAAAATAAAGACACGTAAATTTTAAATTGCACTAAAGATAAAGTACCAGGGAAAGTACAAAAAACAGTAACAAAAGTCAATGAAAATGGAAATCCAAATCGTCAGAAACTTCATGATTCGTCGTTCTCTGGTAGACTTGTACAATTGATTTTTGTTCTCTCTGCCAGTTTCCCCTTCCTTCTTCATACTTCGCTCTATTTATAGATTTTCTTCAACGTAACCTCCTAAGAGCGGTTTAGAAACTGCTACCACGTCTCATGTGCACGCTAAATGTTCCCTCGATTTCTACCTTAGCCACGATTTAGAAAACCGCTACCCATGTTCCATGTGCATGATAATCATTCCCTCGATCTCGACCTTAGTCACGGTTTACCGCTACCCATGTTCCATGTGCATGATAATCGTTCCCTCGATCTCGACCTTAGCCATCAAGTATTTTAAACTACTTCTGACTTCCCACTTAACTTCACACTTAATACTTATTATCGATTTTTTACTTCCCAATCATGTTCATCGAATTTCTTCTGTCTTCTTTTGATTCAGACTCTCGAATTTCCCTAATACAAAGTAATCAAATTTCTCTTATCCATTTTCGATTTAGATTCTCGATTTTCCTTAACACATAGTCATCGAATTTCTCCTATTCATTTTCGATTCAGATTCTCGATTTTCCTCAGCACATAGTCATCGAATTTCTTCTTTCGATTTTCGATTCCGATTTTTGATTTTTTCCCCTCCAACAAAATACCACCTTAAAAGAATAAAAACATTTGTGCAAAATTTTGTATTCTTTCAAAAAGTGTCTACCTCAAATTTTTCCATAAAGTCATTCGACTTTGATACAAGAGAAGAGATATGAAGGAGAACCTCCGAAGCGAGCTTTTATAAATGTTGAACTTGAGGACGCTTTTTGGTAGTCCCCGCACTCTACAGAGACACTCCTCTGTCGATCAAAAAATAAATGTGTCACCCTACCGAGGGTCGGATGTCTAAAAAAAAAGAGGACATCCTTAACCGATTTCTATCTTAACGGAAATCGGAAAGCTCACTCGAACTCTGGAAAAATACTCAGAGTCACTCTAAAGTGCTAAAAGGCTTCCTAGAGAGTGGTAGGAGTGAATGGTGTATGTGAAAATGGGTGGAATGAGGCTCCTATTTATAGGAAAAAGTGTTAAGTCGGGATGACCATCTGAGATTTCGGGAAGGCCTTCTCGCCATTCGGGAAGACCTTCTCGCCCTTGCTATTTGGGAAGGCCTTCTCGCCAGAATTTTTTTTTTTTTATTAATTTTTTTTTGTATAGAAAGTCTTCCTACTTTAATATGGGGCTTAATAGTCTCTCCTAATAGCTTCTTAGACTTCATTCATCTTCGAAAATGAGGTCTTCTGGTCTTATTATGAGGTCGGGCAAGATTAGGGGTCTACAATTGTCTCGGAAGAATGACCATTTTCCCTAAAGACATCAAAATATCGAACTGTTATTGAGGATGATTCGTTCCCAATTCTCGATATTCTGTTGTGTGAAGATGATGTTACTCTCTAAAGTCATTCATCTCAACCGCTCGTGACATCGAAGAAATCCTTACTACTATCAATTCATTCCTCGATGATAATCTCCCAAAGAGTTTCGATGCTGAAGTAACATTATACTTTAATCAATTGTGAATGTTTATTTCTCTTATTTGAGGTTTATAAATCTTGTAAGTACTTCCCGTTTATTGAAAGTACTTTTTCTTTACTATGTCAATCAACAATCGAATAAGCATTACCCGATAATACTTTAACAATTTCAAAAGGTCCTTCCCAATTCGGTGACCATTTGAACTTTCTTGTTATAAACCCGAGCAAATTGACTTTTTTGTAGAATAATGTTATTTAACGCTTGCAATCTTATCTCATAGAGTTCATCTAATTTGTCATACATCAAATTCCAATAATCGCAGCTAGGAAAATCATTTTGTTTTTGTATTCGAGTTGACTCAATATTTATTTCGATGGGTAAAACCACATCATGCCCATAGACTAACTTATATGGAGTATTCTATAGGGAATCTTTCGGCGAATTTCGATAGGCCCATAAAATCTGTAATAACGTTTCATGCCAAGTCTTTGGTTTGTTACCGACATGTTTCTTGATTAAACCAATAATTATTTTATTAATTGTTTCAACCTGTCCATTAGCCTGAGCATAATATGGAGTTGATGCTAATAACTGAATATTCCTCGATTCAGCATATTTAACCATCTTCTTACCAATAAAAATTGTTCCTCTATCAATGGTAATAGACTGTGGTATTCCAAATCGATAAAAAATATATTCTTCAATGAAATCAATCACATCTTGTTGATCGACATCTTTTCACGGGATTGCTTCTACCCATTTTGAAAAATAATCGACAACTACTATTATATATCTATGTCCTCTCGATGACTGTGGAAAAATTTGACTAATTAAATCGATTGTCCAACCTCTGAAAGGCCAAGGTTTGATAATCGAGTGAAGTTCACTAGCAGGGACTTATTGTATAGGACTAAACTTCTGACACTCTTCACAAGACTTAGCATATTCGATACAATCTTTTAAAATCGAAGGCTAGTAATATCCTTGCCGAATTAACGTCCATCTCATTTTTTGACCTACCATATGTGCACCACATATTTCATTATGTACTTCCGTCATTGCCAAATAAACATCGTCATTTCCTAAGCATCTAAGCAATACTCCATCAATGTCTCTTTTATACAATTCATCATTGAACAACATATATTTTACTGCTCGATATTTTATTTTCTTATCGATTCTCCCGTTTGGATTTTGCAAATAATCTATATATTTTACAACATATATCATTGAACAACATATATTTTACAGCGGTCTCGCCTTGCAGGAACGTCGAGACGGCGGTCTCGTCATTCGCGAGTCGCGAGACGGCCGTCTTGCCAAATGAGACGGCGGTCTCGCCATCCGCGCAAGGTGAGACGGCGGTCTCGACCTTAAAAGGCGAAAATCCTTATTTTTGGACCAAAAATCCCTCCTATCCTAGTATGGGGCCTAATAGTCTCTCCTAGTGGCTTCTTAGGCTTCGCCCATCTTTGAATAGAAGGTCTTCTGATCTTTATTATGAGGTCGGGCAAGATTAGGGGTCTACAAGTGTTGACAAGATTTGATGGAGACAGAGGTGAAGATTGACTTTTAAAATAAAGAGACAACTCATCAAAGGTGACATCTTTTGACACAAAATAACGATTAAGAGAAGGAGAAAAACATTTGTATCCTTTTTGTGATCTTGTAAACCCTAAGAAAACACATTTATGTGATCTAGGAGAAAGCTTGTCAAGACCATAACTGAAATTATGAACAAAACATGTAGACCCGAAAACTTTCAGAGGTAAAGGATGAAGTGGTTCATGAGGGAATAAAATGGAATGAGGTATTTTATTATCTAAAACCGAAGAAGGCATGTGATTAATGAGATAACATGCAGTAAGAAGAGCATCACCCCAAAAATGTTGAGGAACATTTCCATGAATTAAAAGTGTGATAGTTGTTTCAATAAGATGTTTATTTTTACGTTCAGCTACACCATTTTGTTGAGGTGTACAAGCACAAGAAGTTTGATGCAAAATACCGTGAGAAGCCATGAATTGTTTAAAAGAATGAGAAAGATATTCATGGTCATTATCACTACGCAAAACTCTAATAGAAACACCGAACTGAGTTTGAATTTCATTAAAAAAAGTTTGAAAGATATGAAATAATTCAGAACGATTTTTCATCAAAAATAACCAAGTGCATCTGGAATAATCATCAATGAAAGTAACAAAGTATTGAAAACCTAAAATAGACTTAACGCGGCTAGGTCCCCAAATGTCAGAGTGAACCACGGCAAAAGGGGACGAAGCACCACGTGTGAAACTACGAGGAAAGGAAGTACGACTATGCTTGCCTAATTGACATGACTCACACGTCAAACTAGATAAGTTGGACAAGGCAGGGACATGTTTCTATAACTTGGCAAGACTTGGATGACCTAACTGAGCATGAAGAAGAGAGGGAGACTCCATAACTGTACTAACATGTGTAGAGGGACGGAGATAATAAAGACCATGAGACTCACATCCTGTGCCAATCACCTGTTTCGAACTCCGGTCCTGTAAACACACAGAATTGTTGGTAAAAGTAACAACACAATCAAGAGAATGAGTTAGACGACTGATGGACAACAGGTTAAAAGGAGACCTAGGGACATAAAGAACATTATCAATGGTTAAAGAAGGAAAAAGTTTAACCGTTCCAACACCATGAGATGATACTCTAGAACCATCAGCCAGTGTAACAG